TTATCAATGCTGCTTGTTATTTCCTTTTTAAAATATTTGATGAATGTAAGTTCAAAACAAAAGCATTTTAAACACAAATTTTTGTAACATTATATGTGTCTACTTTGTAATCAATTTATTGCATCCTTGCTAAATAAAAGTATTACTTTCTGAAATAAGATGATCTCAAATCATTGAATGGTAGTGCATATTCCCCGGTTTTCTGTTTAAAATAGTACCTACTGAACTTGTGAGTTCAAAATGAAAAGCAATTCCATGCAAATGTCAACGTTGGCATGAACAGAACTTTGTTTTCAACAAAATAGCAAAACACTTATAAAAAGAATAGGTTTTTTGTGTATGCTTGTATTTTAAAGTACTGTAAAAATACTCAATAATGTCTCTGTCAATGTTTTCATACAATTATATTTGATTTACCAAAGTCACACAAGCGGCAATTCTGCATCCGTCACATCCATAACCAAGTTTTTTCCTCATAAATGCAAAAATGAATTCATTTCTGTTCTATAGTGAGACAACTCTTATCATGTTGATCAGCATTCTTTCTTTTGGGTTGTGCAGTTTAAATTACAGAATTTTTATAAAGTATATTGCATACTGCAATTTTTTTGGTCACATCCATAACCCATGTTGATTTTTTCATTTGAAATATTAAAAAAAAAGTTTACAGATTTCTATTTTTCTGATCCCATAAGTCTGTGGTTTAACTGTTTTGAAAAATATAAACAGACTTTAACATATACTTTCTAAGTGAATTTATGTTTTGAGATTTTACTGCAAATGTCACATCCATGACGCTGGATTTGCTCAGGAGAGTGTGTGTTTTTTCCTAACTTGCCTTTGTAGAGCAGTCATCAAAGCGCACTTGGTAGCCCACTTCTTCGCCCAGCCTGACCTGCATCTCACTGGACACTCTCTGGGCTACAGTGATGGCAGCAACCCTCCTGGGCTGAGTCACACCAATCCTGCCATTCCTGCTAAGACCTGGACAGAATAAAAACATCCTGAAGGTCAGATCTTGCTTCTGTACACAGAGAAGAACTAGGGATTGAATTCCAGTAATTGAGGTAAAGTTGGTTTTATACATTCACACATTTGTTTTTTTTAAACAGACAGCTTGTGACACGGTCCATATATTGTTTAATGGAAGTAAACTTGGGGTAAAGCTCCTTATTATTATATTGTAATAATAGTAAAGACTCTTATATTATAGTAAAGGATATTTGCAAATTCTAAACATGGAAATCATATTAGCAGCCAATGTCTATCAAAGTGCAACATTGTTCACTGTCAATTACATGGTGGTAATGTTGTTTTGAAGTCATACTTGGATGCTTTTTCTGACCAGTTATTCAAAGTAGCATGATGAACATAAAGGGACCGTGTCACAAGTTGTCACTGAACGAAATTTGGGTGAAGTTGTTTAAATATTTGCACATTCAGACTTTCTTCTTAATATTATATTATCAGAAAAAAATTCTTTGCCATTTCTAAATAGGCAAATCATATTAGCAGATTAAAGTACAACATGGTTTATGGTCCATTAAATGGTGCTAATCTTGTTTTGATAGTTGAATGCTATTTCTGACCAGTTATTCAAAGTAACATGGTAAACAATATAGGGAGTCTGTCACAACAAGTCCTCACTGAACAAATGTTTAAATGTTTAAAAAGTATAATTGCAAGTTGCAAGTATAATATATATATATATGAATAGAAAACCAACTTTACCCCCAAAATTACAACTAATTACAGTTACAACTGACCTGCTTTATACAAGTACTGAGGTAGCTGCGTGGTTTTTCCGCTGCCAGTTTCACCAGTTACGATCAGGAAGGTGTTTTCCTCCACAGCTTGAACAAGTTTGTCTTTGTACTGATAAATAGGAAGCTTTTTTGATTCATGGTGCTCTGTTTCACTGCTCCTCTTTTTTGTTGACATGATCTCTGTGTGCTGTTCCTCCGCTTCAGAAGGTTGCCAACATTTGTGACGACGAATTCACAAAAAGCTCGACAAAATATTACGTTGTCATAACCATTAGAAAGAAACACGTTATATGCGTTATAAGAGTTTAGTTCATCTTCATTTCAAGATGTTGCATTGGCCTGCTATACCTTGATGTTCGCTCGAAGTCGAACTCATTTTCCTCACAGTTCACGAAAACTCACCAGCGCCACCCGCTGCACTGGATGGAGAGTATCTGCTAATGCTTGTGATAGCGATGCCAATGATTGGATTCAATAAACAAATCAAAATATCTAATAAAGTTTCTAATTAAAATGTATCTAATATCTGAAAACTGGAACAGATTTTACTATTTTTGAAATAATGAAAATGAAGGTTGAATGCAAGGACAGAAAGTGGACTTTAGTGTGTGCATGACACAATGAAGCCACTGTTTGTAATGCAAATCAAGAGAGGTAGATATATAATTTCAATCTTTGCAGCAAGTAAACCAACATGTATGTGTCACTTAACAAATATTGTAGAAACGAAGACATTGAACATCAACATTTATTAAGATATTGAACTGTTTAGTAAAAAATGTCTGTAATAAAATTGTGTGCGCTGTAGAACTGTCATCGCAGTCTGACATCTGATGCTTCATTCTCCGTATATTGGGTTTTTAAACTGGTAGGCTGCTGGAGAAAATAAAGTTAAAATATAAATATATTTTGTAATGGCTACAATAATTAATAAAATTCAAACAACATAAATGACAATTCAGAACTATGAAACTATGAAAATGAATTACGCTTTTGTTTTTTGCGTTTTTTGCCAGCATTTGTTGAGATGGAAAGCTCTGCCTGGTTGACTGAAATATGGAAAATATATATTGTATTATTTTCATTCCTATAACACAACATGTTAATCTTTAAGGATAAATATTGTCTTACCATAGTATGGTTTTACATCTGATGAATGACTAGTTGGCTCAGGAACAGCTGTGAAGGCTGAACATTTCAAAATAATGTAAAACTATTTGGTCATTTGTATTGATCAAATAAAAGAATTTTAGAAAATGAAGAGTCACCTCTCTGAGGATGTTGCCCATGCTGCACAGCAGAACTGGGATATGATGCAGGTCCATCATTTTCTTGACATGAAAAAAATACAACACCAATTTTCCCCCAAAATTGTAAAAAGCTATTAATTTGAAACAAACTTGAAATCCAGTCAGAGTCTAACAATGTAGATGTTTGTCACAAGTAATTAACAATTAAAATATAAAACACATACCATAAACAACTGAAGGTCCCCTTCTTGGACCTTCACAAATAAGATTAAAGCATAAACATGTTTATTCTCACTTTAAAATACATTTTAGCAGCATAAAAATCATAAAAACCTTTACTTATGCTATCTATTAATTAAGCAATATATCAATAAAATAAACTTGATTTAATGTAACACAATGCCATGTAACCACTGTGCCCTCCTGTGATTTTTTTTCTTTTTTAAATATTTCCCAAATAATGTTTAACAGAGCAAGACATTTTTTACAGTATTTCCTATAATATCTTTTTATGTGGAAATTTTTTTGATTGTTTTATTTCAGCTAAAGTAAAAGCACTTTTAAATTTTTCATAAAACCATTTTAAAGTAAACATTAGTGACACGGTGGCGCAGTGGGTAGTGCTGTCCCCTTACAGCAAGAAGATCGCTGGTTCGAGCCTCAGCTGAGTCAGTTAGCGTTTCTGTGTGGAGTTAAGTGCATGTTCTCCCCGCTTTCGCGTGGGTTTCCTCCGGGTGCTCTGGTTTCCCCCACAGTCCAAAGACATGTGGTACAGGTGAATTGGGTAAGTTAGATTGTCCGTGGTGTATGTGTGTGAATGTGTGTGTATGGATGTTTCCCAGTGATGGGTTGTGGCTGGAATGGGCATCTGCTGCGTAAAAACATGCTGATAAGTTGGCGGTTCATTTCGCTGTGGTAACCCCAGATTTATAAGGGGACTAAGCCGAAAAGAAAATGAATGAATGAATATGAATCTTTTTAAGCAATATATATTTTCTATTGTCTACAGAACAAACCATCATTAAATGACTTGCCTAATTACCCTAACTTGGCTAATTAACCTAGTTAAGCCTTTAAAAGTCACTTTAAGCTGAATACTAGTATCTTGAAAAATATTGAGCAAAGATAAAAATAAATCAGTTATTAGAAATGAGTTATTAAAACTATTATGTTTAGAAATGTGTTTAAAAAAAATCTTCTCTCTGTTAAACAGAAATTGGGGGGAAATATACAGGGGGGCTAATAATTCTGACTGTATCTAATGCTTTTACAGTTCACCCAGTTCACAAAAGAAATTGCTTCTTACCTTTTATAGTGTTCAGCTTCTCTGTTCACACACCTTTTGTTTCCCTCCATATATATATTTACTCTTAAATTGTAACTGACTTGCATATCAACACATTTTAACTAAATATCTTCTTTAATTTTATGCAGAAGAAAAAAAAAGTCACCTATATTTTATGTGAGTCAGTTTATTGTATGTTGTGTGATTGTAATAAAAAGTGATGTTTCTCACCCCGGTTGTTTCTGTGACTTCTGCTTTGTTCGACGGGGTAGTTGCCTATACATGTGGAATGGTTTTCATGAAAATGAAGAAACCCCATACAGAAGCACACTGTTGAAGATCGGGTATATTACATAATGCTCACCTTCACTATGTATTACATTAACAGAGTTAGACTCGGATGATTTATCCTTTCCTGTAAAAAAAGAAGATATATTTTCAGAGATGAAGCAGATTTTATAACATTCATTTGTGTAAATATTGAGCCATTAGGTAACAAGAAATCAGTGCTCACCAAATAGTTTTGAAATCATGCTGAATACAATGAAAAGCATGATAAACAACCCAGCTCCAGCAGCAAAGTAGAACCAGGGACTTAAATAATACATTTCTGCATGGAAAAATACAGATTATTAAATAAATTTGAACAGAAGGAGATTTAATTTTATATATATATATATATATATATATATATATATATATATATATATATATATATATATATATATATATATATATATATGTGCAGGGTTTAACGCTAAGGATAACGCAAAATTTTTACGGGCCGCACCAAAAAAAAAAAAAAGTTAATTTCTTTTTCTTAGCCACATATATTAAAAAATGTGTCACAAAATATTGTCTATGAATCTAGGATTTAAATATTTGAAAAATGTTAAAATATTTAGCAGTAAAATATAGAGTGTGGAAAATGTGCAGGTATTTTATTGCAAAACAAAAGGTGGCTGACTTAAAAGTGACAGCAAATCAAGTAAAACATCACTTCATTTTTTTCATCATGTTGTACCCATCTAAATGTTTCCACAACGTTAGAAGCTGACGTTTTCTTTTAGTTTCATAATTTGATATAGTGTTTATTTTTCTGTCTATTAATATTTAGTGACGAGGCAGCACTGCACCGATCGGGCCAGTAACGATTCCGTCTGCTGTCCCGAGCACCTCTTACGCTGGCCCCAGGTCATCGGGCAGTCCTTATTGTTGAGCCCTGATATATATATATATATATATATATATCATCGGTAACACTTTACAATAATAGTACACGAATATTGATGTTTTAATTTGTAAACTAAACATTACTTTATTATAATGATGAGTTGATGCATGCGCTGATCATGAATTAACTTTAACTACAACATGAGCCACATGTGTCCGCTTGTGAATAACGGCTACCTGATTACCTGTTAGCACATGATTGTTTGTTAATTAATGTATGAATTACCACATTAGTTTATGCTTAATTGAACCATCATGAACTCATAAGCTGTTAATATAAATGTCGTGACTTTAATTGTAGGGGCACATCATCATTAACCCATTGTTAACTACTCATGAACTCCTTATGCACGTCAGTCTAGTGTGTTTACACTGAATAACAATGGGAAAGTGTTTTGTCAACATCAACATGAACAGTTTAAACACAGGAGTTCATGAGGATGAGTTAATGGTGATGAGCCCCTCCAAGTAAAGTCATGACATAATTATACATCAACAGCTCATGAGTTTATGTCAATGACATTTAGCTTAAACTTAAATGTTAATTAACACATTGATTAACAACATGCTCTAACAAGTAATTAAGGTAGTCGTTATTTACACATGAACGCTTGTGACTCATTGTTGTAAAGTTAGTACATGATTAGTGTCCTCATCATTAACTTATAATTAATCAATGTTTAGTTTACATATTAATACATCATTCTTGTAAAGTGTCACCAATATATCTGTTAATTAACAGTTTCTGGATTTTGTGTTTTTTCAGTTTATTTGCAGTTGTGAATTGCATTATGGGATGTTGATCTCTGCTCTGTTGACTTTTGATGTTGAAAATTAACTCTACAGTTTAACAAATTATAACATAAATAATAATATAAAGTATAAGAAATGACAGAGAAATCCATCTGTAAAATAACAGAAAATGTACTGGCAGTAAATATACAACACCAACCCAGACAATATAACACTCTCTGCATCTATTAAACTGTTAATAAAAGTCACTTTTTCTAACCTTTCAAGGTTAAAAGTTGTTTAAAGGACGATCAAGATCCCATTGTACAGTTCAAAAGCATAAATATATGGGGGGAAACAAAAAATAAACACATGAAATATAAAATATGGAAGACAGATTCATTTTTTCTAAATATCCATACATTTATGGATGTTTTAACACAAAGGCGTCTAGATTCATTCATACAAAACACTTAGTAACACAAATAACACCTAAATAAAGCAATAAACATTACTTAATAGATGACCCTGATATAAGTTATAACAAAATGTATTTTTAAAAAAATGAAAATTTGAATAGATCTGTGCTTTACAACTTTCAGTTTACAATCTTTCATCAAAAATTGTTAAATCATTTTACTTTTAAAACCAGTTTCCAGTATTTTACTGTAAAATTACAGTATAATTTTCAATAAATTCCCCTGTGAAGAAGCAACCGATGTTAACCAATACATTTCTTTAATGTTATACAGTTGAAGTCAGAATTATTAGCCCCCTTTAATTTTTTTTTCTTTTTTAAATATTTCCCAAATGATCAGAGCAAAGAAATTTTTACATTAACTGATAATATAATTTTGTTCTGGAGAAAGTCTTATTTGTTTCATTTTGGCTAGAATAAAAGCAGTTTTAAATTTTTTGAAACCATTTTAAGGTCAATATTAATAGCCCGTTTAAGCTATATAACTTTTTTGATAGTCTACAGAACTACAGAACTAGACTTCAACTAAGCATTGAAGAGTGTGTTGAAAAATATGTGGTCGAATATTATTTACTTTCATCATGGCAAAGATAAAATAATATTTTTTTTTAAATGAGTTAATAAAACTATTATGTTTAGAAATGTGTTGGAAAAAATATTCTCTCCCTTAAACAGAAATTGGGGAAAAAATAAACACGGGGGCTGATAATAGAAGGGGTTGAATAATTCTGACTTCAAATATATAAATAAATTTGTATGTTATTGTATATTTATGTATAAATATATTTCTGCAGTAAAATAAATCTACAATTAAACAATTAAAATAAAATTACAATTGCACCAATACGGCATCCTGTAACACCTGAAACACTCACAATATTTTATAGTGAATTTCTGACAACATTTACAGTAGCTTCTTCTCATTCTCATATTTTTCCATGCTCTTAACTTACCCTGCGATGAATGATTCTGTATTTCTGTGATCCTCACTCTCCAGCATTCACTGTTCCACACACAAAAGTACACACCAACCTCTGAAGAATCCAGATCATGGATGAGGATGGAGAAGTTTCCTTCCTCAACTAAAAGTGGAAAAGCAGTCACTTGTCCTTCTCTAGGATTATCAAAGTAGATTCTGCCATCAGCTATGATCTTTACAAGAGTGTCGTCATTGTGACTCCATATCACTGTTTCATTGTTCAAGCTTGTATTAAAGTGACACGGAACAAAGACTTGAGATTTCAGAGAGGCATTGATGCTGACATCTGTACATCTTTCACTCCAGCGGCCCAGAGCTATACAAAAGCATCAAAATACAGCTGTTTTAGAACCATATAACACATTTTCATCTTATAATACAGTCAAAAATAGTTTTTAAGAACTTTCTGGTTGATTACCTTTAAACAAAGAAATATAAAAGTCCATTAAAATACATATACACTGAAAAAAAGATTGATTGAATTTGCTAAATATTTTAAGGTAAGTGATTGCAAACAATTTATATGGGCTGAATTTAAACAAATTTCAGTAATGTTCGACCTAATTTGTTTGATCAAATTCAGCCCATATAAATTGTTTGCAACCACCTTATGTAAATCCAATGAATATTTTTTTCAATGAATATTTTTACATTTAAAAATCTAATTTAAACAATTATAATTAAAGATAATTAAATAGATGTGAAGAAACACATTTGCCTACCATTAGAAGACACCAGAGCACCAACAAATATCCAAAGACATAAAATGTTCATGATGCATGTCATTCAAGATGTCTAGACTGAAAGACCAAGACAGAAATGGAGAGGAATGTGTAGGCTGATGTCCTTCACATGCTATTTCCTGTAAAATACACATGCACAGGCTCCGAAGTCTGTGTCTTCACAGTTCAAGTGACTCGTCGTTATATGTCAGATTAGGGATGCATCTATCATCTGATAGTGAAAATATGTGCTTTACGATGCATTTGACAACAATAAATGCTAGATGTTATTATGCATTTGTGTGTTTTGAGGTTGCAGAATCAAACGCTGTCTATTTACCTCAGGTAAACTAGTTTCCTTTTTACCACATCCTGTTGCAAAGACAAAGTCAGATGTTAAAAGCATCTTGCAATTGAGCAAGTTAACAGCACAGCCCATGCTAGAGATTATTGTTGTCCAGCTGTGTTCAGAAAACACTTAACACAACATGTAGCCTACATGCGTATTTATTTGACTGAAATTAAAATTTACTGAAATTAACCGAGCTGCAGGGTTTCCCCTTTTTCGGAAACAGTGCATTACTGCATCGTTTATTTTAAGTCTCGCTTGCAACAACCGCAACAAGCGCGTGCGAAAGTAAAGCCGCATAACATTTCCTATAAATGGCCTTAAAATAACACTGGAGGTTTACAACAGGTTTAAACTTATCTTCTTTACAGTGTAGCAAATGACTCTATAACTACCTGTAAGCTTATATAAAAAAATATTTATGATCTCTCATGAATTGTCGCAAAGGCGTACAGTCCATTTACTGATCCTGTTTGTTACGGGCTGATCTTCCATGTAACTATTTCGTGTGTATATATATGTATCATCTATATAAATATAAATAAACAAATTAAAAAAAAAAAAAAAAAAAAAAAAAAATATATATATATATATATATATATATATATATATATATATATATATATATATATATATATATATATATATATACTAATTATTTTGTCTTTTTGCAGGTTAATTGTAATAAACAACTTTCAAAATTATTAAATTAAGTTGTAAAGTAGGCCTGTTTATCAAATTATATATTATGATATATTCTTAACTGCACATTCAACATTTATTTCTTCGATTCATTGTATCCGATTGTACCCCGTGTAGTGACTTTCCGTGATTGCTTTTCCTTCGCCTCAAATCATTATTAAAAGTAATAAGCGCGTCACCTAGTGGACAGAATAGTCAATAGCAGGCTGTGACTATACAGATTGCAGGGCAATGATCAAACTGTTTTTTCAAGCATCAAAAATATATGTGTAATAAAGCTTATATGTGTAATAAGTGATTTGATGGCTTTAGTGTAACAATAGTTTAAATAATAATACTAAAACTAAGTAATTGTCATTTTACATTTGACTCTATCCTTTAAATCATCTAAGTTTTAACCAATTGTCAGCAAGAAGTAATCATTTAAATTATCATGAAATTAATTATGATCACTTGTTATTTTCTATATTCTAACTAAAGGTCTGAATAAGTTGCTTACATGTGTTTTATATTCTTGATTTCTCTATGAATGAAGTAAACATTTCTTACCCTATTGACAGATTTTTTTATTAATTATAATTTTGAATAAATTTTATTTTCTGTTTGTTTGTTTTAAGCATGAACTCCTAAAACCATTTTCAGAAAACAAGATTTTAAATTTTACATTTAGTCCTTAAGCAGACGCTTTAGTTTAAAGTGACTGGATGCAGACCTGGTGCAATCTGAGCTGCATCCAATGCTTTTTTAATACGCTCACCTAAGCCCAACCCTACCCCTCACAGTGGCGTCCCTAGCTCCATTGAGTGCACCGTGTCTGACATTGCATCACTGAGATATGCAGTCTCAGCTTGCATCATCAAGGCTGCATCCAGATACTATTGGATTCAACAAGAGTCAACGTACAGAAGTGCTTATTATACAAATGGTGTTAGTGCTCAGAGAATTAGGTGCTAGATGTGTTCTTTTACAGTGAGAGAGGAGTGTTTCTGGTGGTTTGTGTGAAGCACACCTCATAAATACAGTGTGTGTATAAGTACAGTGTATCTTTTTATTGTTTCTAGTTTTTTTTGTTTGTTTGTTTGTTTGTTTGTTTGTTTTATCTGCATTGCAAAATCAGATACAGTATGTTTGCATATTTTTCCACTTGTACACTTTGTGAGCCAGGCACATAAGAAACAAAGAGAAAACTTTTTATGTAGCTCATATATTAAATCGGTTTTCAGTTGTATTAAACATTAAACATTTTTCACTTAGTTTCCCATAAAATCCAAAATGTTTTAAAGAAAGATAGAAAAGACAATTAAAACATAATAAAGCTAACATTCATTTAATAAAGTTGCTTGTTTATTTGTATTTTACCAGTTAAACTCTGCTGCTATTTTGGGATTTCCACCTGGATTTTGCCAACCCAAATTTAAAAGCTTCCCAAACCCACATGCAGAGGTGTAATTGCAAAAATCTGGTATCCTTATAAAGAAAACCCTTTGAATTTTCATAAAAAACCATCAGGGCTGGACTGGGGCAAAATCGGCCCTGGCATTTTGGGCCAGAGCGGCCCACTACATTCAATCAAAATGCTATCTATCTGTGCATGACCAATATGTTTATCAACTCCTATTTTATAAAACACAAAAGCCATATATATATATATATATATATATATATATATATATATATATATATATATATATATATATATATATATATATATATTTTTTTTTTTTTTTTTTTTTTTTTAATAAATACAGACATTAATTTCAATTTAATTTTTGTATACTGTCCATTAAGATCTTAGTTCAGTTCTAAAAAAATACACTATTCATTTATTTTCCTTCGCCTTAGTCCCTTATTTATTAGGGGTTGCCACACAGTGGAATGAACTGCCAACTATTCCAGCATGTTTTATGCAGCAGATGCCCTTCCAGCCACAACCCAGTACAGGAAATCACCCATACACACTCATTCACACACACTCATACACTACAGTCAAATTAGCTTATTCAATACACTATTCACTAAGCCTATATTTAATAATAAACATAAACAAAACTGGCTGTTGATGCATGGGTAAATCTTCAAAGGGAACAGTATTTTATAACCTCATCCTGCTTGCTGTTTCACTATCTTAATAATTAAAACATAATATAAGGAAATTTGTTTCATTTTGATATTTTGATTGACAGACACCAAACAGCCTCGTGTATCTACACATATATGTGAGTGTCATCTTCACTCTGCATTTGTATAACAAAACAGGTCTTAAATATAACTGACTCTCATTTTCATTGAATAGAACGAACTTTACCCCGTCTCTTTTGCAGAATATCAGTTTTAATAATCAATAATGGCCATTATAGAAGTATAACGTACAATGAATTAATGCGATAAAGGTAAGCAATCAGTCAATGTCCAGAATCAGCGTGGTTACATAACCCAGCCGGCACACGACCGACCTTCAACGTTGAAATATGGTTGAAATAAGGTCAGATGTGTTTTGAACGTTGAAATAATGTTGATAGAACGTTTAATGTTGAACGGTTGAAAAACAGCCTGCATATGACAAGGCTTCAACGTTGAAATGTGGTTGAAAATACGTCAGTTGTTGCTTTAATGTTGAAACAATGTTGAATGATAAATGGTTGAAAAAAGTTACAGAAATCCTTGTACAAATCAACGTTGACATTTTTTTATCATGGTCTGTATGTTGAATTAACGTCATGGCTTCACCCAATATTCAACATGTTTGGTTACCATGGTATCGGAGGACTCGGTGCACGCGGCCACGCGCAGCGCTTCACTTCACTTAATTACGAACACCTGACCTGCAGTGCAGCAGAATTCAGAGGTAAGCGTGTTTTTAGATGCTTTAAAGTTTTATTTACCCCCCGATTTTGTTTTACACACATCTTAAATGTGACTTGGTGTAGTGTTTCGAATTTTGAAGCATTTAAAACTTTCCAGTTTGTTTTTAGTCTTGTTTGCGCTCCGGTGACGCAGCTAACCTCGAGGTAATGTCACATGTTTAACGTTAGTCTAAATGAGCGTTTTTATGGCAAATTCAAAGCGATAAACTCCAAACGCAGTTTAAAGTTACTGAGCAACGTTATAAAACAATATCCATTTTATACGCTGTATTATTAGTGTTATTATTACAAAGTGAACTGCTGTCGTTTCACTGTTGTTGTTGTTTTTGCTTTTAGACATGTAACTTACTCCAGAGACTCACTAACTTGCACAGCATTGAATGGAAAAGGCTTTGTCCATGTAAGTTTACTTTACCTTTAACTAAGCTATCTGTTAAATCTTCTTAGTGCTTTGGTTAACCAAAAGCATGGTGATATTCTCTTTCTAATATGTTTGTTTATTGATTGTTAGGCTATGTTGTTATATTACATTGTTATATTGATATTATTATTGTGAAATCATGTTGTGATGTTATACTATGTGACAGTATTGGGGAACAAATATGTATTTAGTGAGAAATTAATGCTTAAATTACACTTTGTATAGTAGCAGATAAAAGGTGTAATGGGTTTTAACTTTCTGAGTTTTCTGGAAGGTCCAGTTGAGGGGCATCAAGAACACGCAGATAGCCTACCTGGACAGACTGCAGTTCTGCTACTCCATGCCAAGGCTTTTGTATGGATGTCTTGACTACTACTGTGTTCTCTAAAGGTATTACTGGAGCAAAACAACAGCACCTGTTACAGTGAAATTTGTATTAAAAAAAATAGTGATACATGTGTAGCAGGTCCAGTACATGTGATGTCATTGAGAAGTTGTTTTTATTAAATTTCATTAAAACAAATAAATAAACATGCTATTTAAATAAATCTAAATATTAAAAACTTGAGGATTAAGATGACAAATGAAATGCATCATCTGTCTTGCGAAAAGGGTCTACTTAAGAATTCTGGTGTTTTCCAACTGAAAGGGATAGTTCACCCAAGAATGAAAATTTACTCACATTTTACTCCCCAAATGGTTTAAAACACTAAAAAAAAAAAACTAAAAACCTGTAAACATTGACCTCCATAGTAGAAAAAAATACTATAGAAGTCAATGGTTA